AAGGGTCTTCTGTAGATGTAAGACGGCTATCTGTCATACTTGATAAGACATTTCAAACATCCAGAGGCTATGCTTCGACTATACTGAGATTTGAATTGGCGTTTGATGAGGGTATACCCCAAATATTTCAAGCTCCCACGCTTTGATAAAAGCGACACGGTCGAACATTAGGCGAATAAAAGTTATAATGTCTTCTACAAGGCTCGACAAGAGCACTTAATACATTGATATAGATTCACTGAAACTCGAGCATGGTCTTTATTAGTAAAAAAAATTATTAAAAGTTTACTCTAGTCATAGGAAACTATCAGAGAAGATTTTCTATATTTTTCATTTTTAGCGCATCATCCCCCCAATCTCGACTTTGTTACACGTGAAAGAAATATGAAGTCTTTCCCAATATTTAGGTGTTCTGTGTAGCCTAGTGGATGAAATCGGCTCGCTAAGAACCGAAAATCGACGATTGAAAATTCGACTCGCTCCACAGCCATCGAGATCTAAGGTACGGTGGCTTTTAAATTTTCTGTCTCAAAATTCCTTCAATGATGTAAGGCTGAACGTGTCAGAATAACTTATTCGCTATACACTAAAAATGAAAATGTGGTCAAAGCCATCCTGTGAAAATTTGTATGTAGTAATGGTTTCGATTGTGAGGTGCACCCCTACAAGGTTAGAAAGCTCATTCACAAAATGCTGCCTATCAGATTCCAAAAGGCCTTTGTGAAAAAATACATGCAGCACTTTTTAGACAGTTCCAAACTAGAATTATCCGGTGTTAACTTCTCAGTTGCTCCTTTTCCGCTATACCTCTTGGCCATTTTTATTCTCAGAAAAAATTCAGTGCTTCGTATTCACAACTGATTAACTCTTTAATGCAGTTGAGGACTATTCGAACATCGGAGCACAGCTGAATTTTTTTTTTTGAGTTAACCAAAGTTCATTCGAGGCTGCAGTACAGAGATGTTGGGTTCGAGATGTGGGGGAGAGCTTCCAATAGAAAAACAGATTTAACGATGCACTCCAATAGTTTATCATCATCGGCTAGCTCTTCTGAAACAGAAGAACTATCACTTTAGCAATGAAAGTGATTGAAAGTAGTAAGTGCCTCTGCTCATGCCTCAGCAAAATTACAACGGTAACGAGGAGGTTTTGAAGAACGCGCCACACACCATGTTCCATGGACTATAGCGCAGGCATTTGAATGCATTGTCGACTTTTGCAAGGATTTCGATTTTCTGGTTTTGTTTGGCTTCTTATTGCAATACCTAACTGCTATAGAAACTGACTGATTTCACAAAAATAATGCTTTTCTACTTTGTTCTTTTTATTTTCTTTCATCAATTATATATGCCTTCATATGACTGCCAGTATTTATTCATTAATGATGACTAGCTCATGTGCTGTTGATATTTCTTGAGTTATTTATCACTAACTCACATATGACAACCCGTGATTATTCAGAATGTGGTCCAACGTGTGTCGGCAATCTTTGACTCACATACTAGTATATTCCCACGCCTACGACGTGCAGCCCATGCCGAAATCCGTACTGGAGCAAGGGAACGACTTTCGACACCGCCAAGGAAGGTTAGTAAGTACGCCATAAAGAGCAGAATATGGTATAGCCTATCAAAACAACTGCAGCTGAGGCAGTGTCAGTAATAATTCACCGTAGTTCTAACTAACTTTTGCACCAGAAAGTTCAGAATCAATTGATATTATTGAGTTCTTGGTAGGATGGGTAGGATGGGCACTGATTACTTGATTATTGAGAAGGCCAATATTCCACCGGAGGTAACCCGAGGCAAGGTGAAAAAAGCCGTGGATGTCCTCTAGTACCACCTATTTGAAAATATGAAGGGAACAAATTACAGTGAATCAGAGAAGAAGTCACATACCCATTCTATGAAGCAGATGAAAAAATAGGAAGCTCTGATGAACATGTACTGAAGATGATGGTCTTGGGCAATACAGCGGTTACATAAAGGCTTTCCTACAGTTGACTACAACATCGCTAACAATATGTAAAAATTAGCCAAAAATACTGTACTATATTCCCAAAAAAATTTCTTCAAATTGTAGCCGTTCTAGATGACTTACAAAGCTAAGTTTCTTCCGGAAAAAACTGCAGCTGTTTACCTCATCAGATCCGCACTGTTTAGGATCCTCTTACTACTTCATCCATTTCGACGGACTTTTCACAAGATTCAAGCAGGACGAGAGCCCCTCCGTTAGTACAACCAGAGCTGAGCGATAGTGAGGTCGAAGACTATCCGGTGAGTGCCCCTTTTCACCAGGGACTCTAGGTTATTTTATAAATATTCAGCTCTGCTGGCTAGGACATTTTTCCTACTTTTTATGACTTTTCGCTTGATCCGAGGGTCACTTAGGTTCTGACGATTAGCGGTCAGGTAAAACTGGACAGTCATTTCAAGAGGTCTTGCAGCTCAAATATGTATATACTCACCCACCTGTAACTTTCACCCCTAATACGGCTTTCCCTCAGCCAACTAGCTCGTTCACATTAGACCTGGCACTGTGATAAGTTCTCTATGTTGAAAATGCAGCTTTTTATCTCTAATTATCAGGTTACCATAGAAAAAAGTTGGATGGTGTCAGGTGGCGCTGCAGATGGTCTTGTAATGAAATTGCGGATCGGTACCTCCTCTGGTCAAGTGAACTCCAATCCTTCGAAGAGAAAAATCTTACCAGAGTAGACTGCTGTTAGTAGCAGCGATGAAGTTCGCACGCCACTATAATTAGAAGTAGAAATCGAATGCTTTCTTGATATCGAGTTTAAGTCAAAGTGGAAAGGAACCTTATAGAGGCTGAAAATTTATATTCTACACACTATTACTCCTTTGAACTAGATAGTGCACCGTGCACTGAGCGTTGATGTCTTTCCAGATTGATTTTTCCCAACTAAATTTTTTGCATAATTCTGAAATCGATAACTGGTTTACGCAAGATGAGATCTCTAATTGAACTTCAGATGAAGTATAAATAGTAGTAATCTCCTATGCCATTAGCAGAACATCCATCAATGGAAGGACTTCATGCCGCATGCAGCCTTCTTGCTCATCAAAAGTCATGTGGTTTTTAGACAGTTTTTGGAGCTCATGTGATCGCTCTCAGCTTTTTGGCATCACTTTTACCGTAGCTCTTTGACTCGGAAACTGCCGGGATTCCTTCCAGCATAGTAAAAACAAAACAGATCAGAATCGATAGTTCTAAGCTTCGTTTGCTCCCAGCCCTTGTCGAATAATAAAGTTGCATGAGGGAGTGTAAGATCAGTTTTTTTAATTTTGAAAATTTTGAAACTTCGGACAGGTTATTTGAACGTTGAATGGGATAGTCAAAAGTCTCTGACTCCGTTATTTTCCTTACTATGAAAGGCAATATTCGATGTAATGTATAGATGAAATCATGCAGTGATATTTTACTGCTTTTATTATTCGCCATTATTTATGACCTATTCCTCAACTTTCACTCCGTGTAGTTTCCAGCATTGAACATTGTGTCCTGACCACCTTCCGTGCCGGTTCATGATCCAGTCAGCCTGATTATTCAATAAGGTCTTTAAAGAATATCGAATTTCCACGATAATTTTTAAATTTAAAAAATCCATTAGGGTACCTTACAACTATACCCAATGTCTGATGCTTTGCAATATAGCTCATTCGTATGAACTTATTGAGTTGAATTGCGCTCGATCTTGTAAATAATCTATTTTATTTTCTGCAATATAGAAATATAGAAAGCAGTAATAACGTTGGATTTCCAAGTAGAATGTAAAGTAGCAGCAGTTGTGCCTCATTCTAGAGTTGTGTAGAAGGTAATGAGACTCTGTTGTCGTTGTCAATTGCTCTTTAAGTACTAGAATTACCTATTAAATGGGGGGCATTTTACTGTAAAGCAGGGGCAGCTGCCGTCTAACGACCATCACATAAAAGTTTCTTCTCGAACCATGTCCTCAATGGTCTTTCGTTGACTCAGTCTAGTCAGCTACTCCTCATGTAAAACCATCTGTAGGTGGAGCGTCGAAATCGTCGTACAGCGGTGCGTCGTTGTGATATGTCGATGTCAGAATGCACAAGCCCGTCATCAGCGTCGTCAAGCCGTGATCCAAGCGAGGCCATGAGTAAGTGCTTCTTGGACCAGCTTCGAATTATCTGATGTTTGAACTATGGCCTGAAATAACTGTTACATTGCAGCTTCCAGCCGTTCCTCATTTCTTGAACTGATCGGATTTCGAAGACGAACAGTAGGGACATCTTCTAGCTCGTTATTGCCACCTACAAAGCCAATACTGAAAAAGAGAAAGCGACGGGTTTCAGAAGATGAAGCCAACGGACTATATGCTAATATAGGTACTACTTGAAATGATATTTTTTGAAATGATATTTATATGATATTTTAAATTTATTTGATATCTCTAGAGCACATATTTCCCATCCTAACTTTATTATAGGCAATTATCACGTAATCTGCATGGCGCCAGTTATTATTTGAACTCTAGAGACATTCGCGGAATTCAGAATCTCTTTTTGCGTAGCAGGGATCATTTATTTCCGGCAGTACACCCGAGGCCATTTTGACCATCGCACACACCTTTTCTTGAAAAGAAAAAAGTGAAAGGTCACAGGGGTCTTTCCCAATAACAAAAATGTGAAGCCTTTTCTACCATTAGATCAATAAGGGGGGTCTAACTTACAGAGGTGGGAACACTATATCGTAGGATCAGATCTCGTTACCATCCCATATTCGCTTGCTGAATTTTTACGAACCGAAACCGAAATCAAGCTTAAAAAAATTTTGTCGGGGAGGTTTTTAAGTGGGAACCAGTAGGAAGAGTATCACTCTAGCCTTACGTTCGTTATTTGCAGATAATTCAAACCTTCGCCAACGACAACCCACAAAGGTTAGCCCACAGCATAGGCTTCATTCTCTTCAAGCTTAGCTGAGACAGTATGTGGTCAAGTTGAACTGATTGTATCGCCAATTCCACTACTTTTCAGCCCCCTCGTCCAGTATCGTACTATCCTGTTGAGGATAGCGACGATTCGGATAATCTACGAACGAAACGAAAAGCGACTTCCTTTTTAAACGTTCACAACAAATTCGCTGAAAATACCGGTAAGATCGAGATTGTTTGCAATGCATTCAATCCGAGTTCGTTCACATTGGTTGCCCAAAATTAGTCGGTTCAAGAAGGCGAAGAAATATTTTTAGAAAATCTGTTACGTGTTGAACGTGAAACGAGGCTCAGACATGATAAGGAGAATCTTCAAGCGGAAATAGAAGAACTTAAGGTGATCACCATATCTTTTCCATGTAGGGTCACCTCTAGGAGGGAGTTTTCCAGCACGGTACATCATACAAAGCTAGCGAACATCTTGAACATAATTCAAACTATTTCAAACGCTTGAGGCGTTGATCTCTACAGATTACTCTGAGACGAGAAGTGTACCCAGATGGGGCTGGAAAGGAACAGCCATTACTGGCAAAACCACTTTTATTATTTCGCTAGCGAGATCGGTGAAAGACCCTTCCCTAAACGATTGAAATGCGCTGTTTCTTCGCAGGCGCCGCTTCCATATGTAATCTGTTTCCTTTCCCTGAACATAGCTTTTCAGATGCGTAATCAACGTCTTGTCGAGCAGTTGCGAGAGAAAAGTGCTCAATTCAGCAAGCTCCAATTTCACGCTCAGAAACTCGACGAGCAGGTAGGAGTATAGTTTTACGAACATTGAGCGGAAGATTCAAAAAGCACATCACAGATTGAAACTTTGACGCGGCGTTGCGCACTCAACTCCGCCCTGGAAAGAATGACGCTTGATGAACGCTTCGCAAGAGGTACACTGATGACAATGGAGAAGGTAATATTCATGAAGGCATTAGTACTTTTCATCTCCCATCTCTTCAAAAGGGTCCCAGGTGAGAGTCAAAGAACTTAAGAGGCATGCCACGAAGGAGAATATGTGTACATGGTCGGATCGGGGAGGGCAATTTACATATATAACAGCAAGCATTATCCGAACTCTTCAGTGTCTTGCGCTAGTTACTGTGCATATGATTCTTTTGCCCTTCACAAATGGAACNTCAGTACTTTTCATCTCCCATCTCTTCAAAAGGGTCCCAGGTGAGAGTCAAATAACTTAAGAGGCATGCCACGAAGGAGAATATGTGTACATGGTCGGATCGGGGAGGGCAATTTATACTAACAGCAAGCATTATCCGAACTCTTCATTGTCTTGCGCTAGTTACTGTGCATATGATTCTTTTGCCCTTCACAAATGGAACTTCAGTAGAACAGAAATTTCCTTAGCTCCAATATGCCACAGAACAGCTATGGAAGCTTAGTAGAACAATAAAATGCAATTTTGTAACTGAGACAGTTCAATTTCTTCCTCACGTGAGGTCTCGCCCCTTCGTAGGAAGTCCATGTTCCAGATTGAGGATCGTCTGCGACAATTTCAACGTCATGTACAGAGTGCTAAATTAGACGCCGCTAACGTACAGCAGAAGGTTCGTTACGTGAAGAGTTCACTTTAGTCTATTTTCTTTCCTTGCATTGCATGAGAAATTGAAAAAAGGAAAGTTAGGAGAAAGGAGGTGATTAAGATCGGTTCCCAGATATGGGAAAGTTTCAGACAATGAACACTATCGCACACGAACGAAGCGCTCATCAGGCATGTCTGGATCGTTTAGAGGACCTACAAAGAGAAAACTTCGCTCTTATGCAGAGCAGATATTTGGGTGAGTTGGATATGACTGGGAAACCTTTCAGAGCAGAATAACTTACAGCGTTTAAAATACAGCGCATGATCATGGGGACTTGAGGAAAGTAAGGCTGTGCTTCCCAGCTGCTTGTCAAGACTCTACGTGTATGGGACCACTAAAGAATCATTTTACATTCAAATTGCCGGCTATGGGTAACAATCGCATGGAAAACTTGTCCGCCAGTACAAATGTGTCTGATGGTGTAGGTCTGATCCGAACTAAGTCTGAAAAAAAAACAGACCATAAGGATTCCAGGAGGCCAGTTTTTCATTCATGGGATCAGAATCGAGCTGCGTCTGCCTGACCAGCACTCAACTGTCTAACCTTGAAAAACAAGCCAGCCTCCTCATTATTCTGCCTGAAAATTTGGCTTTCCTAATGATACAAATAAGACCAACTACTACAAAACATATGTCCTCTGATATGTCTAAAAACTGCTCCGGAAATAAATAAGGTGTCTGCAATAACGGTACTGTTCCGAACTAGCTGCCCTTCTCAACCACACCACATCACTTTTGAAAGAATCTTGTAAATTTTGAAAGTCCGTCAGCGTCGCCACCAAAGGTCTCCTGAGGACCGTCAAGGGTAAAACAGTACATTGATCGTGGAGAGGATTGAGTTTCTAGGGCATCATCTCTGGTGGTTTGCCACCCTAAGAGCATACTGCTTGTCAGCTTCACCGATTGGAAGTGCACTTTGGCTAGCTTCCTATGCTGAAAGCTGGCAATGCACGGTTCTCGAAATGACCTCTAACTAAGCCGTGAAATCTTAAGTCAAACAAAATAAGCACTTTAGGGTTGAGGGAAGCCCTCGAGTTACCAGCATCATTCCATTCTAAAACTTCTCAAAGAATCTCGCTCCTGTCTATCTCCCATTTCTCAGTTGCCCCTTTCAGAATCCGGTTGTGATGATAGCGTGTGGCAACGGAAAATTGATGCTTTGCCGGCATATGAAGCCCTGTACAGTTTTGCGCAGCACGCAGTTCGTAGGTATTCCGATCTCCGATGGATGTTATTGGAAAGAGAGCGAGAAGCGAACAGGGCTGAACTCGACCTTATTGCGGCTCAGTCGTCGTTGCTCGTCACACATGCGCAGGTATCTTTTGTTTTCTATCTGTACGGCAAAGACATTCTTTGTTTCTCAGAGCTGATCCGATTTCAAATGGTTCCCGATGGTATTGTCCAAGAATCTCTTTTAGAATGAACGGTTTCGAATCAAGCTTGGAGAGAAGCGCCCGAAGCGTCCAGCATCATTCCACGGAGAAGACTTATCAAACAGACTCGTATGTGATTTCGTCCACCTCCGATCCTTTTTCGTTGAACCCTGAGTTATCCTTTATTATTTCTTGCCAGGTAAAGCGTGATATGAACTTCTTCCTTCCATTCAAAATGCAAGGCTCTCGAGTAGAAAACTCCAGACGAATCTTGAACAAGAAATCGACCGATCAGGAGAAGGACCTCGAGAGCGAATTCTTTGCCATATTCGGTGCAGGGCGAAGTGAGGCTTTAGTTTCTCATGTTGCGATTGATGATCAATGGTCATTCATAGAAATCTTAAGAAGTGGTTGCGGTCCACTCTACGGAAAAGCACAGGGATATCAGTTATACGACAATATTGTTCAAAAACGTCGTCCCTCACGAATCGGGATGATGTTTTTGACCATGTTTTTGTGCCTTCGAAGAAATCCTGTGGGGCGAGATCGGTCACTCTTTCAAATCGACTCCATTCAGATGCTCCGCCTCCCGCTTCGCTAGAGAAACCACCGTCTGCTGTCAGCAGAATCGAGTTCATGATGAGAGAGATGTCACAGAATAAGAATCGAAGGGCTTTGTTTACCCCGGTCAGAGAAAATGCCAGGGCGTCGGCGAGTAGACCAATAAGGTAAGTTACCAAGGTTTTATCATGGAACCTAGCTTATCGTCTTTGCTGGAACATACCGAAGCCCAGAACCTGTCAAGGCTCTACGTGTATGGGACCACTAAAGAATCATTTTACTTTCAAATTGCCGGTGATGGGTAACACTGGTAATTGGTATGGAACACTTGTCCGCCAGTACAAATGTGTCTAATGGTGTAGGTCTGATCCGAACTAAGTCTGGAAAAGAAAACAGACCATAGGGATCCCAGGGGGAGGAACGTAAAGTGGAAATACTCCCATCAACGGATGAGATTGAAGTGATAACTGCTACTGGTTCCGCCAGGGGTCCATAGGCTAGGAATTGTGAATGCCAACGATTGTAACACTTTCAATTCAGCCTCGTCGAGGTGGAAGAACAACGCCGTTCTCGACGATTCGAAGAGACTCGCCGAAGCATCAAAGTCCGTCGCCAACCAAGTATGGAAGGATATAGCCAAAGGTAGTTGGCATCTACAGGAACACGTGTTCCACATCTCTGACTGTTAAAGCTTGTTCAGACCCATCGACACTGGACAAATGCCCACATCCTCTCTTCAAGATTTACCGTTCCATAGCCCAGCAGCAACTCCCGTAAACATAAGAAAGTTCCCCGAGAAAGTACCCCACAGACGTGAGTGGTGCCGTAAACAAAAAGCACTTACCAAATTTTTATGACTATATTTCAGTTTACGACCAACTACCGGAGAAATCAAAAATAGAGAGAGTTCGTCAATTGGAACGTGGTTACAGTATGGAAAATCACGAACCAGCATATTCGGATGAAATGCGTCGGGTGGTCGAAGAGCGGAAACGCGATGAACGCGATCGAGTGACTTCGACTGGTGACGTGGAGCATCGGAAATCTCGCATTCAACGGCAGCCACCTGTTCATCTGACTCGGATCAGACCGCCGTCGTACGTCGTCCAGCGGAAAACGGTAATCCCTCTTTGTTTGGCATGTTTGCTTCGCCACTTTCGGAGGGTTTCTAGCCAGCAAAGCTTTGCTCGTGATGGTAAACTTTCATAGCAACTTCAAAAACTGTGTGAAAAAGTATTGGTACCTACGATTGTAATCATATAAGGATCGACCAATACAGACAAAGCGAGATACTTCTCCCTGTTTGCCGCATATAAACTATCTTAATCAGTCCTACAATTATAGAGAACATTTTTAGAAGACGCTTGAAGCACGAGCCGATTCAAGACCACCCGAGCGCCATCCTGTGTTGGAAGTTCTCGATCCTCCAAAAGGCTCTTGTGCCTCGCCTCCTGGCTCTTCCAGTCGTCTACCCAAACCTGACAAGAAGTCGTGGTTGGATAAGATTAGAAATATGAAAAGATCGTAGTCGTTGTTGCAGTTGTTAGATTGACTTTTCTGTTTCCTTCTATGCTCAAAACTATTCTCAACTAATTAAAGTATCAACCGTTACTAAGCATCCTTATTTCTTTATAACGACATTATTTATCTGACCGCATTCCATTAGGATTGAAGTCGAACACATCGTAGAAAACGTCTTGGTAAGTAACTGTAATGTCTGCTTTGGACCTACAAATTATTTGCCTTCAATTTTGCCCAACTTTCAACACTGCAAATATTGTGCCTGAATTACCTCTTCTCATAGAGTTTTGCTTAATGAAGTCATGCTATTTTTCTTTTTCTGTTATTCAAAAGTATGCCCTTCATATACTATCTAATAAAGAAGTTTATTTATCCGGATATTCATTCGGTTCGTTAATATACGAACTTATTCAGTATAGCACAAACATTTCCAATAAAAATTGCTCTAGGCAATCTCTTGAGGATGTCTTGAAAGTCGAAATTAGCAGTTTCCGCATATGAGTAAAAGAATAATTTTTATGGTAGGATACCCTTCTAAAAACTTTTTTTTAGAAAATAACAAAATTGTAATTTATGTGTCTGGTGGATATGTAATGTTTTGATCAAGCCCGATAGAAAATTCTTCAGTTGCTTACTATTATGTCTGTTACAAGGGTACGAATACTTTTTATCAAACGATACGAAACAATGAGAAACGAAATACAAAGACAAGGAAACTAAATCCAAGAGCGGGCAATAATGCGAGAGTGGATGAATCTTAACTTAGCGCCTAGGTGAGAGGCAGCTACATTTCCCAGGACCGAGGTCGGGTCAGGTGCAACGGTCCGCAAGCCACTGCACCTCAGGATACCACGTATGATCCGGTGCTCAATGCGCCGATGCGGAATCGAGCACCGGTGTGGCACATATATTGTATTACATGGGGGCCTCCAGTATTGTCCAACTTTTCAAAATTTTCATGCCTAATTGGTGAGGGACTCCGCCATTTGGGTCTCTTCAAGCCTCAATGCAACCCTTTTGACAGCTTCGCAAGTATCCTCTTTGTGCAGTTCTAGAGTGGCTAGCATATGATACGAGTCTTTCCAATTTGGTAGGCAGAAGTATAATTTAGAGGCTAAATGGAAATCCCATTTGTTACTTGGGTGGACTTTTCTAGAAACAACATCCATTCGGCAGCAAAAGTGTGCTTCCAGTTCACCATTCTTCTTTTTGAGTCTGTCAAACTCAACAATGATCAGTAACTTTTTGAGAGGGTTAGTCGGGCTTCTTCAAGTGCTTGCACTATTCCAGCAAAACTATCCTTCTTCAGACACGCTGGTAAGCCCTTATAGACGGATCGAGCCAATCCTGTTAGGTTGTTTACCAGCATGTCACGTCTATCGCTATACGGCCAGACTGTTGAGGGGTACATTTCTACTGCCCGTAAAAAGTCACTTCGTGAGGTCTTCCCGTCATATTTGTGCACCTCAGCCACGCTTTGCGCTTTGAAAACTTCTTTAGAAACGCTGAACATTCCATTCATTGCATGGGATATATGACTATTATCTGACTTTCCCTCTCTTATGGAGCTTTAGAAACAGAACTCGACTCACCGAGTGTCGACGCGCTTGAGGACAGTAGATAAGATGGACTCGACCGTCCGCTGCAAATTGACCTCGGGTTCTTCGGACGCCCATCTTATCTTACATTTCTGGGCACACGGATTGGCGGTTCCGAACATTGAATTACTGCCATAATTCAATGACAAGAGCTGCTTGCTCAAAGGAGACCAATCTACGCCAATGTTTTTCTCAACATGCACTTCAGTGGTCCGACCTTCTCCAAACGAGGTAGAAAGAATCGTTGTCAGCTTCCGTTTGACTCTGCAACTGGCTTTTCAGACTTGTGAGATTGCCTAGTTCTTCGTTCATGGTCCTCACTTCAGCCAAAACCACATTGGTTTCGCAGCCCATTTCCACTGTCAGGGTTTGCATCAAGCTGCTATTATTATATAACCCACAATTGGCAAATCTTTGTGCGGTTGTCCTTGTGGTGTCTAGGCGGAAGGGTGGCGCCTTTTATGGAAACAGAGAGATTGTTGTCTCTCTAGTAACGAACGAACGAGTAAAAACACGATGGTTCAGTGGTATATATTTATTACCGACTGATCAAACACCCTAGTTGCGGGTGGTGAGCAAGAGAAGAATCCCCTGTTACGGGTAAAACAGAGTAGAGAATCTGTACTTAAGCCCCGCCTCGAAGGAGCGGTGGCGACCGCGGGTTCTGGCCTATGCCAGAACACTCCTGGAGTTACTCCAATATCCTCAAAAATCGAGTGCATAGCTTGACCATTTGGCAGCTTGCCTTTCTCTAGCTCTTTCTACTGTGCCGTGGACCAATCCCAAAATATTCCGTTTCCTGTGCAGAAAGGTTGCGAATCTGGTCATCCAGACTATCACCTGAACGGCGGATAATATTGTCAAAGACACTAGCTAGCTGGGAATTAATTTCACTCACCTATGTTGCACTTCGGTTGCTGTCTCCAGTAACCACGTCTTCTACTGTGTTTTCCAGAGTTGTGTGTGATTCCGCTCATGGCGGACATTTCTGCAACTGTAGTCATTTATTCGAGCTCATCTAGCTTTACTCTCTCATCCCTACCAACAAAAATCTTTTCTCTTAGATAATAACAAAATTGCAATTTACGCGTCTAATGGATATGTAGGGTTCAATCGAGCTCGATTGAAAATTCTTTAGCTGCGTGCTATCATATCTGTTACACGAGTACGAATACTTTTTATCAAACGATACGAAAGCAATTAGAAACGAAATACAAAGACAAAGAAACTAAATGCAAGAGAAGGCACTAATGCGAGGGTGAATGAAACTTAACTCAGTACCTAGGGGATCGAGCACCGGTGTGGCACATATATCAAATTATAGGTTCGTGAGGCCTATACCTGATGGTGCAGCGAGAACGAGAGTTCCTCTGTTATACACTAGTATTGCCTATATATATTTATTACTAACATAACATTACAGATAGAACAAGGGGAAAGGGTCAGGAAGAGGTGGCCATACGGCCAGGGCGATGTTCCCCTAAAAGCGAGGACTCGACACATATTACAAAATTACTCTGATTAGAGGGCATTTCATGGTCTTTACTCGACGCGACGATTCTCCGCACGCGTCGCGCGTACTCGCGTATTGATTAGGATGCCGTAGAGAGCGCGCTTTTGAATGGGAGCCAAGAACAGCGCGTTTTACCTGACAAGCGGTGCTGTACAGCAATAGTCGGCATACCACTCTGCTACTTTTGTTGAAGATTTGCACCATGTTGTTTCCATTAAAAGTTTAAGTGATTTTCCCCGTAAGTAATTGCCTGAATACAACAGCAACCTCCAAATTCAGCAAGAAATGAGGATTAAGTTTAGGTTGCTCTCATGACTGACAAAATGCGAAATACGCCAGTCAAATTGAAGGGTACTCGAAATTCAAACCAAGTGTACTCAACAAACACAGTGGATACCAAAGATGCAACGCAAGGGTGATGAATGATCTAATCTAAGAAGAACTTACACTCAGAATGTCAAGCTCGAACACCACGCCCATAAAATGTTCCTAAATGAAGCAAACTCCATATGGGCGATACACAGCCATGTTCTCGATACCTCGACAAAAAGCGCACCGATTTCGGCGCCCCAATCAATGAACTGCCGCGCCGTCGCCGGCTGCTGACGGCTTTTGCGCTGGAGCATGGATTCTCGACTACTCATGTATACCATTCAAAAGCATGAGTTCGAAATGATGCTTGCAATAAAACCTTTTGTCGTAGTTCAGTGCTCACCTTTCGTCCGCTTTAACCGTACAGAGCGCTCGGGTACTTTGTGCATCAACGATTTGTTAAGAGCAGATTCATCGTGTTGAATTTTATCCCTGACTCTGAGATCGCACACCTTCCACTGACACCGGGGAAGAGATTGTTAAGTTTCACTGATATTATCATGCAACGGTAGATCTCGGAAAACTGCCTTATTTGAAAATTGAAAACTTCTGTTATACAATTTATTTGCGTTCGCGAAACCGTTCAGGCCGTTTATTCGTAGCATTTCTTCCATATCGTGCCAGTATTCTTTTTTTACTACCAGTTTTGAAGATTGAAATTAACTTACCTCGCTTAATGGTTAAGTTGAAATTAATGTGAAGTTTTTACAGACATGCATCTATACATAACTGTTTAATGTCAGCCAAAACATCGAAGGTACTGTCGTGGTATCAGTCAACGGCGGATAAACGAACATTACGTAGACATAAGATTGGCCCGCCCGATGTGCACCCACAAGAACCACGACAGGAGGAAGACAATCTTAGTAATGAGAGGTTACGAAAGGGATATCAGGTAGGTTTTTAACATCTCAGAACTATGCTTATTCTGATATTTCACGTTCAGGTGGGCGCAACGCCATTTGAACACGAATCTTTGGTGTTCAACAGCCGATCAGCAAAACTTGACCGGCTTGATGAGGCCCACGCTAAATCCACCGCCTTGCTCAATTTCGTAAGTGGAACAATACGGTTTGTTTTGTTCTCCATTCCTTTGATTTATTCCTTTTCAGGTTCTTCACAGAAAAGGTGAAATCAATGCCAATCTTGACAAAGAAAGGAGGAAGAACAGGGAAACTGCAGGCGCCCAATTTGTAAGTGCAAATATTGCTTAACCTCGAATATTGACGTAACTAAGCGTTTCACTCACAAGGTTTGATTCAGTATTAATCCAAATAATGAGCGAGTCAAAAAATATGTAAAAAAATAGCATAAGATAAGGAAGTACAAGGAACTCAATAATTAGACCGAAATATTTTGAGATTAAGTTGTTTTCTTGAACTTCGAAAGGTACTTGTTTGTAGTATATTGAGGGTCCTGATATCGTGTTGATTTTGCAGGCAGTAATGTAAAATTACTAAGTTTGTGGTTCAGGATTTTTTTTTTTTGGTTTTGTACACCAAAATCAATTCTGCGTTAAATGCAGCATGTTCTCCTTTGTAATTGATTTCATTAAATTGCAAAAAGTTAGCATTCGAGTATTGGTGATCAATCAGTAAGGTTTATCAATTCGATTACCAACAACTTTAGTGCATTATCATGTCACTGACCCTTTATCCTTTTGTGTTTCATGTCGTGATGTAGCAGTGGTGTTGTTTTTGTCGCTGTTAGTGTGTGGTACCCACGTTCAGGGCTATTCGACAATCCTTTTGTGAAATATAACCAACTTTGTTATGAGCATATTTATAGGTTGCTACAAAAACGAAAGAGCGTGCTGTGTGGTTCACTGACCTCGCTCGAGGGAAGGCATTATCTCAACTAGCCAAAAAAGTGCCAACCATAAAGCGCCAAGATGGTCTGGAATATCTATGTGACTACAGGTCCGTTCTTAGTCGAGCAGCATTTGCTGAAGAGATAGTTAAATCATTTTTTTTCAGGATACCGCCTTTTCGAGCTTTGTGGTACCTGAAAGTCACAGCCGCACTCACAGGCAGCTCGAATACGACCAAACAGAAGAAATCAATCAGTGATCTATTCTCTGCAGGTTCATTGGAGCTATACTTGCGGTGGTGTTGTGCTGTAATCACCCATTTTCATGAGTTCATATTTCAGAGTATAAGGAAATTTTCGTGAAAGCAATTAAGGACTTGACTGGTCGGATGTGGTGCGTGAACGATCTCTCAACATGCCCTATATATAAAGAGCGATGGCTGTACATATCAAATCTGAGCAAAATAGCTTTTGAGGTGGGTACTTCTACATACCTCAGCGCATTCAGTTAGGGTTTCTTATGTGGATCAAGTCGACAAGAGCATTAACCACATCCAACCAAGTACTAAGAGTATTCTTAAAAATAGTGATGGGGAATTTTTTATTAAGCAGCCATCGACATTTTTCAAAATCATCGTTAGAAGTCAATGCTCTTGGAGGTTACCTTTTCAAAGCTGTTTTATAACGGCGAAACTAGTCTGAGATCCTTTGTTTTTTCCTTATCCTACTCTTGCGCAATTTTCGGAGGACTTTGCGAAATCAATCGCGGGCCCACACGTAAATAGGTTTTCGGTGCAGGCATGAGCAACGAATTCTACTGCCACTTGCCAATGCGAAAAGTGATAAGACTTTGTCTAGCTCATGTAGAGCTGTCGTTACTATACCAGCTTATATGCACTGCTGTTCTGTAAAAACTTCAATATCCCTTATTTTAGCTTTTCGGTGGTTGCAGCAAGTTAGTGCATCTGTAGATTTATTTTCTTCGGTTCTGTCGACTTCCTGGATGTAGAGTTGCGTCAATATTTTGCCACCTTTTTCGTACCAGAGGCGGTTTTGAAGTCGACCACATCGATTAGTTTCTGAATTTAGCATTGGAAGCTAGTTCCTTGATTGATGCAATGCGTTGTCTTCCTTTTTGGTCTAAAACATTCTGTTCCAGGATGGCGTAATAGAACGCCAAGATTTTTTGAACGAGTTATGTGACATATTCTCTGACTATTTTGTTCGCAGAGTGAAAAATGAAGAGAAGCTGCCACAGTTGCGGTATGTTCATCATAATTGCAATTCTGAACTTTCCGCACAACGTTATTCATCGCTTCAATGTTTTAGTGTTTATTTAATGTTTTTGACACAATTTCTGCGACATATCAACAACAATCTTATTCTCGCACGAAGGCTAGCTCACATGATTGCTATGAAGCTCAGACTTTATAAAATGGAATATGATGAGCAGAACAATACGTTAGTTATATTTGCTTTCATAGGAAAAGATCTCTTATACTGATGTCATTCCTCTAGTTTTTTTTATCGACTTCTATTTAGTATAACGAAGGGAGCGGAAGCTTTCATAGCATTGACCCAGTGTTCAGCTTATCGCCCTGTTATTCACGTTTTGATAGCAATTCTTCAAAATATTGTTATTGATGCGCCTGCTGCTGTGATTTGGAATAAATTCAAGGTCAGCTAATCTAATTGTTTTATTTTGAGTCATGAGACTGAATCAAGCAATGAACAGGTTTCAACGACGGATAAACTTCCTTTCATTTTGTCCCAACTATGTGGATCACCTCTTGATCTGCTCCCATGTGCTGTACACGAGCTACCACTCACTCCAGGAAAAGGTCTGATAGTCGATGATCGAGTTTCACTCCCGTTCAAATACATTTTTTTCAAGACTCTGAAAGGTTTTCTGAGCTCCTAAAGCTTCGAACGGCGGAAATAGTGCGCCGAAGTCAAGCAGTTCAAGATAAATGGTCTTTCAACCAAAAAGAGCAATTCGCTTTTGGTACGTTCCAGTGTTCCCTACATCTTGTTATCTTCCATTTGGTATCTTTTAAGCTACTTTTTTTTCAGCTAAACTAGTCAATGGATGCCTTGATGTGATTGGTATACTCGACTCCACAGATGTTTTCGAACCAAATGTATTATCGACAGTAACAAAACGGCTGTTCAACTTCCAGTCTGAAAACTGGGCTGAAGACGTCCTAATAAGGTTACTTTCGTGTTCCTCTTGACTGCATTTTTTAATCTTGATCACTTTCAGGATGAAGCTCATGTTGCACTGGGCTGTTACAGCCGAACGCGAAGGGAGTCACAGAGCAGTTATAGTAACAAAGGTTTGTGTTTTAATTTGATGGGTGAAATTTGTGAAGCATAAGCCCGAATGGGCAGTGGTTCAGTGCCGGGATATGGTTTTTTTTGAGTAGCACTTAGGGGAGCAGTCCCATTTCGAGCATTATCTTATTCGGTCATTACAGTTTATCGCTAGGTTGCATGTTTTGCTACCTTTGCATTCTTTATGAACTCGCTTTTTCAGGTCATATATAATCAGGTTCTCCAGCAGCAGTCGTACATGTTTGGCCCATTTCACATGCAGGATATTATTCTCAATTATTTCTATACTGAAGCCCCCACAGTCGGATCAAAATACTACCACCAAGAATTTGCGTCACTGGTTACCTTATTCATTGAATTGTCCCGCTTCAAGCTGTTCGTACACGACTGGTGGGTAACGAAGTTTTGTCCCTCACGTTTTTTTCCAACTTGTTACAATATATAAGAGAAATGTTGTTGTAGTTTCGTGAAAGAGTTAATCAAATCCGGTGAACTGGATTATCAGCGGCCTGTTATGGACAAATATAAAAGTGAGAACAAGGCTACAGATGTGATATCGTCTTCCCTCATTTCAGCTCAGGTAGGAAATAGTTGGTTCGCTCAAAAAGTTTAAAAGCCGTGATGTAGTTTTCTTCTTTTACTTTGTTTTAACTGCACTAAACAATGCCTTTCACCCATTCCTTTGTCCACTAACCCCAAACACTGATGAGACTCAGGGAACGTGGAAATGGTGGTTCGTTTGGTCAAGAGGCGAAACGAGCCGCCTTTTACTTCGTTCTATTTATCGTCACTTTATTACTTTTTCATATTATTTACCATCTTCCACGAACTTCAATTTGTTTTATTTTACTTATTCAATCTGGAATACCGCCTTTTCTGGTCTTAGTACGCGCTCGAAGTCATCATCGGTTTATGCTGTTGCTTAACGAGACTATCCTTTTCATAGGGTCTGTGCCCGTACTGAATTTTCGTTTCTGTGTCAACCTCTCGTTTAAAATGTAATGAATGTGTTTAGTTCGAGGATTTAACGCCAGATGAGCCACCGAAGCCGAGTAGCTTAATATCCTTCAGACAGGATGAAAAGGATGAGCATATCTATTTGAATGACCCCATGTCTGTGAACGATAGAATCCTCATACAGGTGCCAATTTGCTTTCTACCATTAGTTTGTTTACTATGATTGAAGTCTGCAGATGCCACTTCGTCAAACTGAAGAACATCGTAGCGAAGCAAATCAGCGCGCACTTGTTTTGTATGGAATGGATGACGTCAGAGAAAATCACAAGGCTGAAATGAAAAAGGTTTCTAATGAATTATCTGGAAAGGGTTGTTGCCATCCTTTATAATGTTAATCATTACAGATTGCCAAGGAAATATGCAAAATTTGGCAGAAAAAGATATGTGTTGTCTTTTCGGAAGGTAACGAGGTGCCGTTGTGGAAGCAGTCCATCAACTCTCAGAAGATTGTCGAAATTCTTGCTAGGTTCCGGTAAGTTCTAATCTTCAAGTTATGGTTACAACTTTAAGTATTGCGTACTGAACTTCCGACAGGGAATCAATTCTTTTCTTGAATTCTCATGTTTCACAGGAGCCAGACTTATTACGATCAAATGATGATTTGTGGTTGGTGCGCAGAGTCATTCTCCGATATGATCCGTGACTTCGTATTGGGACATTCACTGCAAATGCCCACTTCTGAAGGCCTAGATATCATCTGTGGGATGTTCGAGGCTGCTCAATACATTTACGGGATATTCGAATTATGTGAAGCTGTAAGTAATTCACCTTTTTTTCTGAAATTTTTGATCTTTTCAATGAAAATAAGAAGAACTGTACAGGTTACTCCCATGCTTCTTTCTGCTGAAAAGGTTATTCGGTCACTAGCAGCAGATGTTATTCCCGGAAGTATGTCTGGACAATTAGGATACGTTTTTGTGGCGTATATTTCGAGACATTGGCACTATTTTCTTCATTCAGACCTGGCTCCAGTTATTACGAATCAGTGAGTTGAGCTCGTGTTTTGGGGGAACTGTTTTTTATCCTATCCTAGCGTCGTATTTACACTTTGCGAAGAATACATACCTTCAGGTTATATGAACTGATCGAGCGGATGATTCGTGCGCACGAATATCCTGTGACAAGTTGGGGTAGGACTATAGCCGCTTTTGTCTATCATTCAAAGTGTCAATTGAAAAAGAGTCAGGTTAGACATACATGGATTCCACTTTTTCCACCTACCCTTTTTGTGCCCCGCTGTTCGTCGAGCATTCTCCCAACCTCTTCTTAGTGGTCTGCGTTAAGTCTCGTTATTATTCCAGCTTTCACCCATAAAGTTACACGGAGCTCATGATGATTTCCGTCATGTGTTTAATCATGGAAGCTCTTCTTATAATGGAGGGTGCCGTTACAATGCCTTATTTTTCACAGATGTTTTCGAGAAGAAACTGTGAGATATCTTTATTCAGTCCCTGCTTTTGGGAATTCCGATCTAGCTCACCTCATTTCCAACAAGATGTATATGTGTTCAGACGGTTTTTCTCCTATCATGAATACAAAAAGAGGCTTCCCTCTTTCGGGCAACTGTACAATCGCTACTCTTTTGTCATCAACTCGTTCATAGCTGCCAAGGTACTTTATTTAGACTTTGTGTTATTGTAATGATAATAAAGTCTATTACTGTAGAATTGCATGCGTGATCACGACCGCCTAGCCGATCTTGCAGCATTCTGCGGACACATCTCGGCTCAGATACCCGCACTCGCTGATGAATGGGTTTGTCTGAAAAAAACCTTATGTTTCATGACATCAGATACAGTTTTTCGCATAGTACCTGTTGCTCTTTTTTTTCCAGGTCGCTGCAATCAAAGCATTATGTTGCACTAGTGTAAGCCAACATACGGGTTATGGTGAGCTGCTTGCTCATATCGATGTGAGTTGTATCAAGTTGACGTTGTTGCTATAATTCGTTTAGACTTGATGTATCGTTAGCTGCCGTTATTTCGCCGAGGCCTTACGCCCTTACGCTACCGAGACTATGTCGTTGCTATGATTTGTTCTGACTCAATTCTCTCAAACATTCCAACAATGAAGAAACCTCATCGTATATGATTCCATGAGTAACGCCCTTCATCATTTCAGATAAATGACTGCTCGACTCATTATCCGTTGGCCACGTTTGTTTTGTTGCTTGCCGGTAAATATGCCTTTAGTGTGCCGCGCCTAATTGCTGAACTATTGAACAACGCTTTTCCGGTGGTCATGAAGAGGGAGCAAAGCTCATTTGTGTCTGGACGCTACAACGGTAATGAATACAGTAAGATCATACAGCTCATATATCTTTCGAATGTTTCTTTTTAGTACTTGGAAGAAGCGAATATGATTGCGAACCTGGTGCATGCCTCACCCTCCTTATTTTAGCGCAGATCAGTTGTGCCACTGATGAGCCTTACCATCGTAGGTTCTAGCGGACTTGTATAACTTCTCGATTTTTTCATCTCGTATTGCTTCATCTTTCAGTATCGGAGCATTATGTGGGAACAAATCCAAAGGTGAAGTTGCTCCCGAAGTGTGCAGATGAACACATATTGTCGATGATCCACTGGTTTGTCATTATTTTTTATTTTTTTCAGTTGTTTCCACTCTTTTAATCTCTTTTGCCTCCTTTTTATTCTCTTCTTATGATAGCTGTCGATTGAGTCGGAAGGGTACTCTCTATTCGCATATTTCTTCTGTATTTTATCCCCCTCTCATGTTTTCATCTCGTGCCCAAACCAGCTGAACCAGCTGGGAAATGAAAAACCTGTAAGGTTATTTGATGGCGCTCCCATTTTTGGCAAGAATGCTGTCATATTATATTATTACTACGCCGTATTATGAGAACATGACTTGCATTTTCTTCAGGTGTGAGATGGACAGCGTGCTTTTCCCTATGTTAAGTAACATTTGCATCCTTATGGATACCTTACGAGGGCGCTTCAAGGATTTGGAGTGGGTCCCGCTTTCTCAATTTTTCCTCTGAGACTACTTGCCTCTCTGGGAACTTGTTATGCTTAGTTTCGAGCCAAGCAGAATCATCGATTCCACAAATTATCGAAGAGAGTACCTCATGATATTGCTGAAGGCCACACAATCAGTTATTTGTGAGGAAGACTGGGTTACATTAAAGATGTTCCGCATTGTGGAGACAAATCGAATGGAGGCGTTCAACCATGATCGGCTGAAACAAAACTGCCTTGTGAGTTCTTTAGTGGTTTTATCAGTATATTTCTGTGCTACTTTTATGCGCAAACTCTCTTTATTACCGTTCATATGCTTGTATTTTGTTTGTTTTTGTTTTTGAATTCTTAAACGGAGGATCAAACGTAAGGATTCCTGGTGTTTTTTTTCCTTATACTTCTTCGAAAGAGATTAAACTACATATAATATCTAAAATACGTGCGATAGAGCAATGGTTTGTGGTATCGAAAATCTATTTTTTCTTTAATTTCATTTTGTTTTTGGCGTCTGTAGTCTTCTGTTTGTTAGGGTCAACAATTACTGCGAATGGGCATTCGCCGTCGAAGCGAGCGTGAAGTACTGCGCGAATTATCCGTCTGCAATGGGAACTCAAAGAAGGCTCTGATTGACAAGTTGTTGGCGGTGATGAACATGTGGAACATGAGAGCTACTTTGTTCGACTTGATGCTTATGATCAAAGAAGTACGTTTAAAGTTTTGCTAGAACAAGTTCCGTTTAAAATTTGTATAACTCAGTAGTATTTATGAATATACGTATACTAACATTTAAGTATTCCTATAAATTTGGAAGGAAATATGGTGAATATCACTGCTCGAATTTGTGACTGAACGTACCATTGCCACTTTCAATTACATCAAATTTTCACTATATTTGCCACTAGTATGTGTAGCACTCGCTCCATGGCATAGATCATTCCTTGCAAAAGCTGCCATTGAGCTCCTCAAGGTTTAGAACGGAGTAGAGGATCCGGTTATGAGAGCTGCACTGAGCCGAAAAGAATACCTAGACCTTAGCACCGAAAACTGATCGTCGAAACTCTGACGTACCGATTCAGCCGACCTGGGGCAATGCTGTGAAGATCATCCTATGTCTTTCGCAGCGTTGCCCCAGGCGAAGAGAAACGCTATGGGGACTCGAGATTGATCCCGAAGAGAGTAAAGAGCATGGTTATAGTACTGTGTAGTTCAGCAAGTTGTGAGGCAGAAGAAAGATTCTTGGCGAATTCAACGCGCAGATTCGAGATCGGCACCTGGAAGTAGTGTAGCAATACAAGTCTTGTTTCAAATATCCTCTTCGACTTGGAAGATTTCCCCTGAGAGCCAGAACCTATCTGAATGCGGCTAACGTAAAATAAGTTGAGGGTGAACCGAACAACTCGAATGACGTGACTTGAGCAGGATTCCGGTCGTGGCAGCCGTCTCGAATTGTATCGGGTGTGTTTAGGTGTGTATGGTTGTTAAGAATGAAGCCCATATCTCTTTTGAGACCAACTTCAACACTAAAAGGAGGAGAGCCCAGCTTTAGCCGGTGATCTTACTGTAGTCATTGTAAGTGCAGTGTTCTTTACAGATTTCACCAGAGGGAGCACAGAAACACGCACAACAGAGCGCAATAGCGGCTGATGCTCTCATGGGGGAAATTGGAAAATGTTGTCGGGATCTGTTCACGAATGCTCATAAGGAAGGCATCCAGTTGCCACCAGCGATTGTGAGGATACTCTTTATGGTTAATCCATAGATTCCATGTTTTTAGCGATCTTTTTCTAGTTGGGTCGTGATTTTCGCTTCCGGCATGTAACCAACTTCTGGCTGATAGCGTCGTTAGTTCGTCTATGTCCGCAGCCAAGCAACGTGCCAAATCAGTTTCACCACATGACTGTGAGTCCAGCCATTTTAAATGTAGCTGCAGCACAGTCAGGAATACGTTCAGGTGTCTGGCAAGTTTTTGAAGGAGGCTGCCTCTATGTTAGATACGGCTAATGACAGCTCCAAGGAAAGAATACAACAGAGGTGAATCTAAGAAAAACTTTTTTTAGCTATTTTTTTTGTCGTGTAATACTCGAATAGCTGCTGGGCAGTGCATGGCTTTTATTGCAGTGCATGGCTTCTTTCTCAACAGCCTTTCCTGAATTTGGTTCTGGCTTGTTTGAAAGGAGAGAATTTTCAACCAAATAAGGACATGCTTGTGTCATCACTGTATAAGCAACTTCTCGATCTCACGAGTAAGACAAAAGAGGTAATACTTTTTTGATTGCTAATAAACGATTCCCCGTTTGATTTGTCCGTCTTGCTTCTACAGAATCCTGCCCTGCCCCTCATGAAGAAGTTCTCAGCTGAACGGGAAGCATTATTGCTGAGACTGTCGCTTGTGGGTGGCATCTTCAAACAGGTATCTGATAACTAATATTATGGTATTAAACATGATCTTTTTCAAATCTAATTCTAATTCGTAGTTGGAAATGGCAAGGAACTCAATCCAATCCAGTATCTTGCTGTGTAATGATTGAGGGTTTTGTCATGATGAACTGGATTCGGGTTAAAGATAGCTTTCGTCAGTCAAAGCAAGCGCATGCTGATTTTGCCATCCCAGTTGAAGCCATATACTGATCGAGTAGTAGAGGGTGTTCCAAAATTGTGGGCGCAGTATTTGGCTATCTACAGCCGCGTTTTTCACTTGGAGTGCCTTAGAGAAGGTAATGGTACGAATTGGGTGTTGTCCATTTATTGGCGGAAGCGCTGCCGAAGTCTATGCGCGCCCCTGTTTTCTCATGTCTGGGTTGTCAGGGAAAGGTCCCAGTAGATTATCACCCTTGCTAGCATGTTTACGTTGTTTACAAAGATTTTTAACGCTTTTTATGCGAATTTTTTGTCGCAGAACCTTCTTGTCATCCCTGTAATAGTGGAACTAGAGCTGGGGCTTATGACTGTCTCTCGTACGTGGCATAATTTTGAAGAGAAAATCCGTTCCACAAAATCGAATCACTTGGGATACAACTCAACTGTAACAATTTTTATTATCCAGATTTGCCAACCGCAGCACAGTGAAGGCTGGTCACACCTTTTCTTTCAAATGATGTTGTATGGGATGGTTTCGCCTGATAAGGATAGGTACGTCTTTTTTCCTTGCACTTGATCAAAGGGTTATTCACCAGTCGGATCTAGCGCCGGCCTTTTTGTGACGAAGTTGTAATAATTGGCTAACCACCACTTCTAATTCGGTACAAATGATACTTTTCTGGACAGTTTGACACAGGGCTAAGAGGGCGTGCAGCTGCAGTGGCAGTCAATATGCGTCGATCCTTATGCCTATGATTAAAAATCTCGAACTATTGCCCCTCACTGAGCATAACCACCCATTAAGGATTCAATTGTTTTGCAAAAAAGTCTCGAGTTATACACGCAAATGCTGTCGCCATTATCAAATGTCGTTGTCAGCGTGCGTTCCTTTCTATATGGATATATCATTAGTTGGGAATCCCAGACTGTTGACGGTCGGATGAATTTTGTCAAAAATTATATTGAAACAAAAAGACGTCGGTCGTATCCCATTGCGAGAAATAAACCAAATTTTCTTCTCCTTATAATATAGGGCTTTTAACCGGTCGCCTGTACCATAGGCGTTAGGATTCGATCCCCTGCCACACAGCATAAGTGTTCCCATCTTGCCCTCTTATTCCTAACAAATTTTAAGGCTCTTGGTTTTCGGGATTAGGAGTCATGATTTTCCGGTCTGACACACACACGCACACACACACACTTACACACACACACATACATACACACATACACACATACACATACACCCGCGCATACAACGCACAGATAATCACGTTATACATAGTAGGATTTTTCCTTAGAATGGCAGTTAACATTTTATGCCTCGTGTGTTCAATCAGTTTGCCTCGCTGCAGGATTCTGTATGATTCCTGTTACGATATGTTATCCACATTGATGCTTTGGACGTTGACGGATCCGTCGACTGCTACGCAACAAATGAGTGAGAGCAGTGAACCGAAATTCAGATGGCCGTACTATTCAATGATCATTAAAAAGTTAAAAGTTAGTACGGCAATTCTTTTTTTTTCCTTGCATCTGCGTTCGTTTCTATTGTCCTTTGCAGAAGGAAATAGCAGATCAAAGAGTTCCTCCCGAACTTCGTGCTTTATTGCAATTCTTACCCATACCAAAGAATACAATATCCGTGTTTGCGATGGAGCCCTACGGAGCGCTCATGCCTGCAAATGTTCCAAAAGCTTCAGGGGTGAGCTCATTTTGTGGGCTACTGTTTTTGAATCTAGTCCTCAGGAACCAGTTAGTGACTGTTGGAAAAAATAATTAGTTTCTGTAATTTCCTTTATTATTGTGAAATGAAGGCCTTATTCGCGCTTCAAACAGCGGGACAACACAAAACTAAGCCAACAAATGTTACATTAAGAATGTATTATGTAAGGGAGCTGCACGTCCTGCAAGCCTTCCGGCATCAGCACCACAAAGTGGTTTGCGTCGTGGTCGATATGCTTTGCAAGTGAGCGAGAAAGTGAAGACGTCCAGTTACGATTTCATCCATGCTTACATTAGTGAGCAGAATACGAAGGGCGGGTGGAAGTGGAGCTGGTTTCAGGTTTGTTGCAAAGTTTTATTCTATTCGCTACTTTTGAAGACTATACGGTCAGCTTAGCGCGTACTCCGAAATGGAATGGAACGGCTGCCGAGATTGTTCAAGTGACGGTTGATCGTTTAGACTGAAGTGGTTCAAATTTTAGTGTTCTAAACTTGATCGTCTTCCGTGCCCTGTGCAAAAATGGGTCGCAAGGCTACTAGTTCATAAACATCAGCTGGAGTATCAACGACCTAATGCGGTCAGAATTTTTTCTTCATTCAGTACATTCATTCTTATTCAAATTCATTATCCTGTCACTATGTTCAGATAATCACTGAGGCGAGCGATCCCTTTCTGTCAGCTCCAGCAGTAGAAGCGACAGGAGAAGCTCCAACGCTGCCTGTATCAAATGCGAACACTCCTGGTGTCAGTTGCATATTTAGTTTTTCTGGCAGACATTTACTGCAAGCGTAGTTCATTTCTTGATAATCCTAGAAATATCAGCATTGGCGTGAATGTACGCATAGGCAAGTAGGTCAGCACCGTGAGATGAAACTCCTCTTTCTCTTTGCAGAACGTAAGCATCCCTCAAGCCCATTTCGCGTGATTTTACTTTCATTACTACTTCCTTTGGAATAAGGCGGGAAAGAGGTGAGCGTAGCGACTCGTGATGGTGTGGATTCATTCCTTGAACGATACCTGCCTATTCATCCTGCGAGAGCCAGTATCAGACTAATCTGGGAAGTACACAGTTGTTCTTGCCAAATGCGCATTCGACTGTTACTACGTTTCTTAGTACGAATGAAGAGCGGATCCAGGGCAGATTTAATCAGCAGAAAAACCTGTGTACTTTTGTGTGCGTTTTATTTGTAGGTATTTTAAGTCTTCATTACAGAATCAAACTCCTGCAACACCCACAGCGTCCTCTGGTGGGCTGGAGGCGACGACGCCTGGAAACGAAGTATATAGCGTTTGATTGGCTTCCTTACTCAATCTTTTTACCGATTGTTTGCATTCAGGAACCTATCTCTTCGCTCGGTTCCGCTGTAGGCACTCCAACCAGAGCTGATGCTCCGGTTGATGAAATCACCTCGGATCAAAATCGCAATAGTACGTCAAGTTCCAATTCATTGCGTTGTTTGCTCGAAGAGGTTCTTGTGACGTATGTTTGTTCCAGTTCCACCAGCATCCAAGCCCATAGCCTCCCCTCGCGCTTCAGCTCGTGGAGGTCGCAAACGAGGTAACATTAACCGGCAACATAATGCCGGTCCCCGACAGAAGCGGGTAAGCAGCACGTTTTGTGTGTGTTTTTGTGAAGGTCTCCTGACTGAACCGTTCTTGCCATAATTCGTTCGTACAGTCTGTATCGCGTAATGAACCACCTGCGCCGTCTCTTGCTCCTTCGTTCAATCAGCAGTGGCACGGTACTGGTCCCAATCCCGGCAATCCTGCTCTTTCTCAGCCTGATTCTATTGCGTATCCTCAGCACCAAGTGCAACAGGTATGTGAATAGTTTCATGCCATTGATAGTCCTGATCTTTATTTTCATTTCGCGATTTAGGTGTCATCCAACGCGGTCAAAGACCCTACAAAAACGAAAATCCAAGAATGCATAAATAAGAAGCGACTTGAAGCCGCTCGAATCTCTGGTGGGTTCTCAACTGATCATTGACCCTCTTTTATGTGCTATAATGAATGTTAAGAAAGTTGAATTCCTTCCACTTTAGCACTCACGACCTAATGCACTTACTGAGAAGAAGTTCTTTATTAGAACCGATAACCGATACCTTTTTAGCCGGTTTTCCTGGACCGACATCATCACAGCCTTCCACGATTGGGCCAAATATAACGCAAGGCTCGTACTCGGATGCCAGTTTTAATCAGACAACAAGCAACCGAACTGCTCCAGGTATGTAAAAGCTCTCTGAGCAGATTTCCGCATGTAGTTTCGCCTTGGTGAGAGCATCATGTATGGTTTCACGAAAACCTGACGTTGAGAGTTCTGCAAATTCAGCGGCGGCTGCAGTCTTCTAGAGACGAACAGTGATGTTCATCAATGCGTTTCTTTCGATGAAGTTGAAGGCCATCCTGTCAAAATATGGCAGCCACAAGCCGACGATGGGCTTGTGACGTACATCCCAGTGATGTGTCGATGGATAAAGCGTTGACTGCGCGACAGGAATGAATAAGAGCGAAAATTAAATCTGATTCGATTTTCGCTGCGACACCAATAATGGGACATGATGTTGTTAACTGCTGTTATTTCGCCGCAGTTGCGTTCCGAAGGTCTCACAAGGTTGGCGATCTATGGGCAAAACTTCAGTCTCGGGCGGGGCTCGAACCCGTACTTGTGCTTTCCGGGCACCGTGCTCTATCCCGTACATTACTGAAACCCCGCTTGCACCCGCCTTCTTAATGGCTTATATGCCGTAGCTCATCACCACTCACACGTACAACACGCGTACTGCGGCGAAATAACAGCAGTTAACAAAACATCAAGTCAAAACAAGTTCTAGCATGTAAAGCTTACAGCTTAACGGTTCTGTGCTGATATCGGCCGACCGACTCAACACGTTGTACGTGTGAGTGCTGATAAGCTATGGCATATAAGCCATTAAGGAGGCGAGGGCGCGGGGCCTCGGTAGTGTAAGGGATAAGAGCACGGTCCCCGCAAAGGACAATTACGGGTTCGAGTCCCGTCCGATATTGGAATTTTGCCCACAAATCTCCAACCTTGTGTGGATAATGAGACAGTTACTGAAATAATGTGAAGTGATGAAGGAGGTGTGTCGCCCGCAATTATCTTGTTACAAGTCTAAGGTAAGAGGATAAAGTTTGAGGCGTCAGTGAATCCCGTTTGAGGAATGCGCCCACGTATTCGACTTCCATTACAGAATGTGCTTATGTGGCCTCTACAATGAGTTGCGGTGGCCAGCCGATGTACATTTCAGTGCTTCTATCCTCCCAGGCGAGCCTGGTACCAACTAACCGACCCCGGAGGGATAGAAGAATTGGTTGACTTAGGTGGATATCGGTCCGGGATTCGAACCCGTTGCCGTACGTGTGTGAAGTGCGCAACTTGCCACTTCACGACTTTCGCCCATATTGCTACCACTACGAGCGAATTTACGACTAGTGGAAGTAGGAGGCGATGGGATTAATCCAAGCACAGTGTGAAATTTCATTCTTGCTTCGGTTCGGGTGCTGTGAGGTGAAAGTTAGGAAACCTCACCATCAATCTTTAGTGCATCAGCACGCCTACTTTTATTGAGAAATGCTCAAGAACCAAAAAACTGCTAAGTTTCACCATGCCTTGTTTTACATAGACGTATAAGCGTGTGGGATGGTGATTTGAACCAGAGAACCCTTTCCGTTTCTCGTCTTTCTCCGCTAAAAAGATATAAGTTCCAACATCAATACATACGCTGCAGTTTCGAGGGCTTTCGTTTTCAGGTGATTATCAAACGCATCAGAATCAAAACAATTTCCAACAAGACAGTGGTCAACATCTTCAACCGATGCTGCAGCAGTCGTCTCAGTCAATGGATACATCCCATCAGTCCCAACAACAAATGCAGCAGCAACAACAACAACAACAACAACAACAGCATATGCCAACGTCTCAGCAGCAACCTCACCATCAGTTACCTCACCATCAACAACAGCAACAGCCTGTCCAGCAGACTTCGACCGCTGGTCAACATTCAATGCAGCCGCAAGTTATGCAGCAAATGCAGCATCACATACCGCAGCAAGTGCCTCCTGGCTTTCAACAGTCCCATATGACAGCGTCTCAGCAAATGCAGTCGCAGCAGTCGATGCAACAACTGCCTCAGCAATCACTTTTGCAACAACAAATTGGCCAACCGCATATGCAGCAGCAATCGCGTTCAAATAACAGTCAAGGTAGTCGATATTTTTGCATTTTGATTCTCTGAGAGATTCTCATTTTTGGCTTGATTTACCACATATTGTTAAATTCCGTCTTCCATCACTTGGTGCTCTGGACTGAGCAAATAATCAAGATAGTACACCACATAAGCGGTGAAATGAGGTGCAAAGAAGGGCTTTGTGACCAATACCCTCTCCTCTGTTGCTATCCTCTTCAGTTCACTACTGTTCACAAGCTTAACAACCGTAAATAAATAGTATAATGACCATCGAATCGAAGCTTCACTTTATGAGCTTTGTGGCTCTATCCGAGCGGTGAAAAATGGAATCTAACTGGAAGAGACATTGTCTGTATTCCAAACGAAGCATGGAACAGTAGTAACATAAGTCGAGAAAAACCGATTGAGGGTGATGGGTTAGCCGTTCTTTCATGACCAATCTTTTCGCTGGAGTCGCGTCAATAGCCATGAGGGACTATGATCATTTTTGTCGAGTTTATCCGAGTACATTTGAAATTCATCATTCTTCGCTTAGGCGACAAATGTTGTTCGTCCAAGTGACGTACTATACCCGACATGGGTTCGGAATCACATCCTGGTCAATACTGGCCATGTCAAACCTTTTGACAAAGCGCCACTACGACTCTATATGGAAGAAAAGTGCAAGGACGTATCAGAAGGCGGGTCTGATCAGGGCCGGCAAACATTATCCTCTGGACCTTTTCCGCCGTTTTGGGTCTAGCCAAGTAACGCAGCAATAGAACCTAAATATTCTTCAATGAGAGTGTACTTTCATTGAAGGAGTTTCGTGGCTCATCAACACCCCAAAACTGTTGCTCGGAAAACCGAAGTATGGATTTAAACGATGTCCTGCGAGAAATTATCTGGATATCAGTTCAGTGGGGCCAGCCTTATATACACAAACGGTAGCAAGCTATACTCGTATCATTAGTATATACGTAATTTCCAAATGAAAAGGTGCCCTTTTTTCCCTAACGTATGCCAGGTTTGTGAAATGATATGTAACCGTATGTTTCTTTTCAGGTATGATGACGGGTCAGCAGTTCGTGCAAGGAGGTAGCTCTTCTCAACATCAGGGTGGTATTGGCGGTCCAATGCAAATGAATTACCAAGGGCAAGCAGGTACAGGTCCACAGCCGCAGCAACAGCCACGTAATCCGATGGGTCAGTTTGCCTCCAGGGACGGATCAATGAATGTGGAGTATCAGCAAGGTATTGATAACTGATCTGGGTATCGTCAAGTATTCTTAGCATTTTTCATTAAGGTAATCGTGGAGGTCGTCAACAATTGCAGATGGGTTCCCAGGGTAATGTAATTCGTAATGGAATGCCAAGCAATCAGATAAGTGGCCAAACGCATATGGGATCACAGCATGTTCCCGATGCTCACCCGATGATGGCACAACAAATGGGAGGAGTTCCTATGGGTGCGCATCAGTTGCCACATCAAATGGGTCAAGCTTCAATGTCAGGGCAGCAGTATTACATGCAACAAGATCAGAGGTGATTTTTACATGATTTTAAGTAACTTAGGGATACTGCTTAACACCTGGAACGTGTTACAGAATTAAATTTTGCTTTTTGTGCCTGAAGGAAAACGTCGAGAATGTTCCTCATTTTCGAATAGCTCTTCTTAGTTTGAGATTTCTTGAAGCTCTGTCAGCTTTGATTCTCTTTTTATGATTTGGGAAAATATAGCTAAATTTCCAGAATGCTGAATCAGCCCTACAATCATTCTCAGTACCCACAAAATCAGTTCTAGCTCCTGTGCTGTATATTGAGGACCTTGAGTGTTTACGGGTGTCACTTGAGCGACCAGGAAGCATCGTGTCAGAAAATGAGCCGATTCCGTGAAACTGGCGCTCTCATTTGTTCTAATTTTTTTTATTTATCCTTTTACTAGCTTCTTAGACACTATTTTGTTTCATAGTTTGTAATTCTTCATACATATAATGTCATGTTATTGGATTGCATTGTGATCAGCTTCCTGTTCTTCTTGTATGTAGTATTGTACCCGGACAGTGATGGGAATTAATGCATAGCTGTAACTAGGTTTTTGAAAAGCAGAGGTTTAGCCTTAGTCGATTACAAAAGGTTCGATTACTTCTGTTAAAATGCGTTTTTCTAAACTTGTATACAACTGTACGTTTAATAACTTATTCCAGTATTATCGCTTGCAGCATAAGGTGGACATCCTCGCAAGAAAGATATTATGGGATGCATTGAATCTGTACATTTGGATTTTGCTATAAATTTCTTTCATCGCCTGTGTCAAAATACTCCCAAGTGTGTATACAGTCAGATTTTCACATGATTTTTGCGAGAATTCTGACTGGAACTTCGTTTCAGCAGCATGGAATTCATTCGATGCGTGATTTGTGTTCCTCTCAGAATGGACGAGTAATATTTCGTCGACTTTATAAGAAAAGGTGGCATTTTTTTGTGAGGGTAGGTAAACAATCCATAGGGATGCAACACGCTGTCTGTTTCCGCTAATGAATCGTCATCAAGATAAAATTTTTGAGTAAAGGACGCTCACTGGCAACAGGTATTCTTGGATAAAAGGACCTTCACAGTGGGCCTTAAAGAGCAGTTTTTGTCCTGGTTTCTCGTACCACCCGCAATAAGAGTAGGAGCTTTTACGATTGCAGAATGGATGCATGTTACCACCATAAGATACTCGTGTTAAGTTTTCTGTCCGTCTGAAAGAGATCATTCCATGTCCAACCGAGTTTCATCGAGAGCGCGGATGTTTGTTGCGGAGCGACGCCCATGTAAGCCTCGAAGGTCCTTCACTCTACTAAATTTCCGTTTGAAGAATGGCTTATGACAGTTCACTTGTTCCTGAACTTTTTGTCATCTTTTTTGACCAGTATTGGATGAACGGTCAGAAACGGGTTCCTTATAACAAGATAATATAATAGAGAACGCACATTCAAAGACTTCTTGGGCCGTTGGTCGATCCCGCCTGAGGGATAGGCAAACGAATTCGACTTCCATTAGGAATCGTAAAGAGTGCGTCTGTGACCTGTACAATGAGTTGCGGTGGCCAGCCGATGAACAGATTAGTGCTTTTATCCTCCCAAACGAGTCTAGAATCAATCAACTGACCCCGAGGAGATAGAAGGCTTGGCTGGTCAAGGGAGTTTGGTTGGGCGGATATCGACCCGGGACTCGAACCCCATGCGTGTGTGAAGTGCGCCACTTGCCACTACACCACCACTTGGAAAGATATTTACCCAAACATTTATACTTACACTTATACTTATACGGATCACTTCCACGCGTGTGCGAACACCAGCAACAAACCATTCGTTTCTGCCTTTCGCGATCGCCATCCGCGGTAGTTTAGGAATTGGAAAGATGTGTGGAGTCGTTCAGCTGTTTTTGTACGAGTTACACTGATTGACGAGCACATTCCTCCTCCTCCCCCTCCCCATCTCGCAGCAGGCCCACCCCATCTCGCAGCAAGCCTACCCTTGGATCGTCGATATCCTACGGGAGCCCACTACACTGTTCTTTTTGTCCATATGTGATCATCTCTTCTCATTATGTGACCGGCCCACCGAAATTTGGCGTTCCTTATGTACATGTTCCACCGAATCGCGGAGACGAGACATTCTGCGCATTTCGGAGCTGCGGAGTCCTGCTCGATACTGAGTGAGCCGGCTGAAACCCAAAAGACATCGCTCGAGCACTCTGTGACTTAAGCCTTAAGCCCTTGATGTGGATGCACTGGTCACCCTAGACTCCGACACGTAACAAAGCGCAGGGAGAAATGTGGAATCGAATAGATTAGCGCATCCGAACGATTTCAGTTAAATGAACAGTATATCTCAATGAATTCCTGCAAAACTCGCATTATGTGATGTCATACTGGGCCTGATAAATTCAATGAAATAGCAGTTGAAAAACTCGCTTGATGTCAGAAGTGAGAGATATATCAGTCATGAGAAGCTCGGTGGTATTTAATGGACTTGTATTAGACATATTTCATCTTTCTTATTCATGAAGCACTAACTAAATTGGGTTGTCGGTTTACTGATTTGTCAGCTTTCGGCTTGTTGGTTCTCTCTTTGCCTGTTCGAAAAACTTTATGTATAAGATTAAGGAAGTAATATGGGGACCCCAGATCTATTCTGCATCCCCCTATCCTCCGGAATTCCCTTTTTCCTTTTAAATAATAGGATTGCAAGCTCGATCCTCCAATCCAATTTTTGGAACAGTTGATTTATTTCTGACCAGAAATTTTTGAAGGGGAATTTTCTCAGTCACGCGGGTACTATAAGCTCTACACAAAACGCATGCACTGATGGCCTACGCTCGAGGGATCCCCAACTGTTCCCCTTGTTCCCAACAGTAGCCATACACTAAGAACTCAATAAATCCCTTGATTGCTTTGAGTGACACACCGACTTTCTAAGACGGAGCAATTCATTTAGTCAACCGCAGTGATACGATGTTGCTGAATGAAGATAACAACACTATAAGAAGTCCATATCGGTAGCGCTCCTGTCCTGAGACATGGGCCAAAATCGAATCATTTGCCGAGATTCTTAGACTGGTGGTGTTAGGATAGGTTCTGTGGCAGATGGTAATGGAATAAAAGCAAAACGTGAAACGAGAGACCGAGAGGTTGATACGGAAATCTTGGAGCGTTGCCGTCGTAATCTGATATAGCAACGGGTAGAACAAACACCACTTCTTTATATTGTATTAACATTGAAGGGTCAGTGTTACTGTAATTATTAACTTTTCGTCAAACTGCTCTTCAAACCCGTCTTACCCTTCACATTCTTACTCTTCAACATTAGAAAGTCAGATATCAAAGGTGTATATCCATAATGGTTGGAAATTAAGCCCTCTAAAATTACTTAGCAGCCTTTATCCGCCGTTATGATTATCTGCAATCCGCTTTTTGCGACGGAGTCGAATCCTATATTCCACGCTGAAGTAACAATGTCGCTCTGTCATACAAAGAGGAAGGTACTCGAGGCAATTCCACTATCCCGACCAATCTCACTTTGATATCTTAGGTGTGATGCTTCATCCATCAACCGGAATGGAGCCACCGGCTCAGTGGTTCTTGACTTCTGTAGCTCATTATGTCTTCTAGCGTGATCGATTCACTGACTCTTACCATCTATGGCCTCTTAACAGCGTCTATCAGTTATTAACTAACTTGGACATTCACGGTTGTGATCTTCAGAACGGTTCAGGCACCGGATTCGCTGCAATCGGCTGGATTTCATGGAAAAGTAATAGGTGGCAGGAAACAAACCGCCCGAGGGAAGTGCTCCATAGTGTGTGCGGGCGTTCAAATTGCCAAACGCCATTTTACTTTTTTAGAATGAAAAGAAATGACCTAACCTCTTATGGCTTAAAATCTGTCAATAGCTGCAATATCGATTTGCTACAACTCGCTGAACTTGTAAGACTTATTTTCAAATCCAGTGACATCCGCTTCATTTTTCCATCTTTTCATACCTGTCTAACATGATTTTGCACTGGATATGACGGCATGAGATGTAACGATTTACCTGCATCTGTTTCAATGGTCGTCCCCCCCGTTTGCAGTAGTGAAGCTGTGAACAGTCGGCGCATATTATTGAGAATGAAACGCTGGCTGTCAAACGCACCGTTCGAGCTACTGAGGCGGCCAGCATCGAAATTAAGACCAATTCTAGTCTTCGTCTCCTCTTTCTTTGCAAAACAACGTGATCCAACTTTCGGGTAGCTCTACCAGCCCTTTTCTCTTCCGTCGACAAAGCCACTGCTGAAGTTGCCACTGCAGTCGCTCCGTTCCGGTGGAGTGTCGTGCCACATGTCATGTCGCAACTACTCCGAATAATTTCAGTCGGTAAGCGCCTTCTGCGTCTTTTCTTATTAATTTTTGGTAACGCCGTAGATTACTGTCAGGTATAATTTTCAGTTTTTCATTGTGTTTTTGATAGCTAAAGTGCCTTCCTACCACCAACTGTAGTACCAGCGTTCGGATGCCAATTTGTATATGCTTACTTATCTTCGGATACATCTGCTATTGCAACTTGTGTTCGAAAATTCGGCGGGCGGATTCAGTGCTCATGTATTCACTTAAGTGCGTCAAAATTTCCAGTTTGAATATTGTTTCAAAGCTGTGAGATTTTGTGTAGGATCTAGCACAGGAATTCATAAGCAGAAACAGACTAACAAGCAAACGAATTCGAGCTTATTTAGCGACACAGCAAAACATAAGCAAAGCGATCATTGTAAGCATATCCCAATCCCGACGATCGATGACAAGCACTTTGAATGTTGAAATTACGGGATGAGTGGTTTCTGTTTGCTAGCGTGTTCAGGCTGGAAGCACGGTATCTGCTAAGGGGCAAGCAGAGTCCATTTTGTCTCTTTCCAGTACGTATATTTTTTCAGTAGTTTCGTGATAATACTTCAACGGTATCTTTTTCTGCGGAATGGGGAGTGGCTGGTACAAGAAACAGAAGATCTGAAAATGTCAAAATTGAAAGTCGTGCATTGGCGACATTGATAAGGTTTGCGTTACAGCGGTCATAGTCGTTGTCGATCCTGTGAGATATATCGACGTAGTTTTTTTTTCTGAGCCCTGAGAGTGGAAGCTAATCGTTTCACCCACCCAGGTACTCCTCGCCTTTGAAGGCTCAGGCAGTAAAGTACATCTCCTAACTACGAAACGTTTCTAAGCACCATTACAAACGTGCAGAGCCAACTAATCCTCTTTTCTGTTCTCAGACGCTCAATAATGTTAGAGTCGGAGAATTATAATGCATATTCGATATTTAAGAGTGGAACTATTTATATTTATAAGAGCCTACCTTTCCGTAGACTTCATCTGTGACAACCATGCAACAATCTGGGAAATCTTCCAGACACTGCTTGAGACAAACACCTTCACTTTGAACAGTGATTGTTTTATTGGATGTCACTTCATTCCATGCCACATTCTCACTGGTGGTGATTGTAAACGTACAGAGTAGGGCACTATGTGCCTGGAATACGAACCATACATTGAAGGATGTTATTCTAATTTGCATCACCCGGTTTTCTTTACTCCCGTTACAAAGTCGAAATACACGGCTGACACTTTTTTGTAAATATTATAATTCATTCTTCACCAAAAAAACTTTCGAGTAGGATCGCTCCATTGTACTGAAACTAAAAATTCCACATGAGACGCATACACTTGTCACATGAGCCTACGAAAATTCTGCTATTCTCAATCTTAGCGTGAACCGCTCTTAAGCGTTCTACAGTACTCGCCGCAAGAGCTCGAAAATTCACGCGAATACTGCGAACTCGCGTCTTTTTGGTCTTTTCTTCATAAGTCGGTTCAGAGTGGAGTATTCGAAGAGCTAGAGATACCGTTGAACTCAGTTCGTCGAATTCTACAAGCTCGTATGTTGAAGTGTTTAAAAAGCTTCATTTTGGTGCACCATGCACTTCAGTTTCATCTGAAAATTATCTGCACATACATGGTTTGCAGGCTTCAGCGCTGTTAGTGGTTGGTTGGTCCCTTGGGATAAAGTGTTCAGAATTTGCTTCAGTGTGCGCCATGTACTTGCCATTACACAGGACAGCGTGAAAATTATTGATCGATTTTATACAGTCTCCATTGTTCATTTCAATGCGGAGGCTGCAGATGGTTGCATCTACAGTCTCCGCATTCAACACTCCTTCTTACAGACACCATTGAGAATATGACACCATGTTACGGCAAAATGATTGAGTCGATTTTTTTATACATTCCGAAATTTAGAGGGATTTTTGTCCGAGACCTGAGGAGATGGCCTTGAGGCACTGTATTATCGTAGACAACACTTTTTTCTGTGCAAGACAGTTATGGCATACCAAATCATAGAGCAAAATTTTCCCTTGGTGTGTCTCCCAATTTCGAACTTCGTCAGGCCCAAATCATGAAACTATGTTTTTATTTTTTTCTTGGCCTTTTTGCAGCTTTACACTGTTAGATTCCCCGTGAAAAATGCCATCGAATGACTTATGGGTAAACCCGTAATGACATCCTTCCTTTATAATCATTTTTTGCCCTCGCCCGGCGCTGAGCGGTACTGTAGTGGCGCGGGGTTTGAAAGGCGGCTTTGAGGGATCTTGATTCTCAGGCGGCGCATTCCGTGTTGGCGGGAACTGAAGACAGTTTTGTATAATGACTACTTGAATGGGGAGCTCGATATGCAGGAGGGTGGTTACTGTAGGCGGGAAAGTGGGGCAGTTCGAATGGGACTTTCGGGGCTGTCTGAAGATGCCGGTTCCGACAAGGTGGAGTCATTCATTTGATTTTTACTCCTACGTCCCACTTGCTTTCCCATTTCAAATCCCCCGCCCGCCCGAGTCGCACCGAACTTCGCCGCGCAATTTGTCGTGCGCACCAAGAATCGCACGAATCGCAACACACCCGTGTTCCTCGACAGTCTACAAGAAGACTCTACAACAACTGGCGGCCACCTACAACAATTGGCGATCAGTGGACTTCAACGCAGACAACGAGAACGACCAGTGCAGCAGCAATCGAGCCGACGGGGAGGTTAGCCACACATTGAACTGGACGTAAAAAGTTTGCAGGCTATCCTAGAGGCCCAAGCCAGGATGCAGCAAGAGATGTTCGCCGAACTCGTCAACCACATGGAACGAATGGTGTTTGGCTCACGTTCGACCGCTCCAGCGTCTCCAGCCAACGCAGCCGAGTTCGAGATAAACTCGCTATCAACGCGTCTACCTGAATTCGTATATGATCCCGACAATGATTGTACCTTCGAGGTCTGGTACAATCGCTACGAACACGTCATATCGAAGGACGGCGCTGCCTTGGATGAAGCCGCAAGCTCGACTAATCGTCTCCATGCTCGACGCCGTCACATACGCTCGCTTCACAAGTCGCATTCTACCGAAACGAGCTTGTGAACTACCGCTGTCAGATAACGTAGCAACGCTGAAAGAACTTTTCGGACACAACACGTCGGTTTTCTCGCGCCGCTACGTATATCTGAAGACTCAACGAAATGTTGAGAATCTTCGTGACTATACTGGACTTGTCAACCAGCGACACGCGATAGCCGAATTCAACGACGTTAACCCAAAACAGATGAAATGTCTCGTGTGGATATGCGGACTCTCCTCTTCCGAAGATGCTGATATCCGGGCCCGTGCCCTTCGCAAAATGGAAGACAACCCTCAAACCACGCTGAAGGAATTGGCCGCGGAGATCCAGCAGTTTCTCAACATTCGTCAGGATGCCACTCTTCCCGAGCGTTCTGCGTCATCACACATCAA